CAAAAGTCAGGATCTTTACCTATTTGAGTAGCAGCAACTTAAGTATCTGGGCCACCACGCGCCGCCTTTCAGAAGGCCAGGCTGAGGCCTGAGCTTAGATACAATAAGGAATGCAATAAAATCACTTTGCATGTTTTCAGCTTGCAGAGTCGTTTTTTCAGCTCCTTACCACCATGCAAAGGTATGTGATACAGGTATCACATACCTCTTCCACATTAATATGCCTATCTCATCCTTTAAAGAGCTTTATAATATTCCATATATCTTATTCAGTCATCTATTTTGCAGATGAAACCACTCCAATACATTGCCTTTTAAAATGACAGCTTGTCACAATTCTGTGTACTGACCGAGTTCAGCTGGGCAGTTCTGAATCACTGCTGTGCGTAAGGTCACACATTCACAAATATATGGCATTTTGGCTGGGGCTAGAATGGCCAAGGCATTCTCCCACACCCCAGTGTTTCTCCCGTGTAGCTTTTTATCATGAAATAATCTGAACCTTGCGACACTGCAGCTGGCTTCCAAGAAGGTATGTTCTAAGAGAATAAGCCTCAGTGTGCAAGTACTTAACAAGTTAGTACAGCCTGTGGGTAGGGGGTCTATAAGCTGTATCATGTTGGCAAATGTCTCAGTGGCCAAAGAAATCCCATAACCACTCTAAGGTTAATATGCAAGTGTGATATTGAAGGGCATGAAGCACGGGTCACTGAAAGCCACAAAAATGGGGCTGGGCTTTGGCATAGTAAACTAAGCTTGCACCAACAGTGCTGACATCCCATTTGGGAACTAATTCATATCCTTGCTGCTCCACTTCTGATCCTGCTCTATGATTATAGCCCTATACCTCTTTGGGAGATCCAAAAGAAGCTCCTGGCTTCTGGCTTCAGACTGGGCCAGATCCAGTCATTGCAGCTATCTGGGGAATGAACCAGTCGATAGATCTCTGTTTTTCCTTTGCTCTATGACTGCCTAATAAAAATGAATCTTTGTTTATTTGTAAAAAATAAATAAATAAAAGAATAAAAGAAAGCCACAAATGTAACAGTACTGTTTATTTACTGCCTGTTGAAAGATATTTAGATTGCTTATATTTTTCCCATCACAATATAGTAAATATCACTGTAGAAAAATCTTTGCCCAACTTACCTTACATATTATTTTAGATAAAAATATAATTTTCTCCTACTTAGTAACCATGAAATTCTAAATCCTAATTTAAATGAATCTAATTAAACTCTGCCCACCATCAGTATTAATCAGGCTCAATAAGAAAAGGATATGGCAATAATAATTATAGAAAACTTCTGGCAACACTGAAGTTGTTGATCTTTTAAATATTATTCCAGAGTGGAAAGCAAATAATGCCTCATTTTTGTTCTAATTTCTATTGATTTTATTAGTAATGAAGATAGGCATAGTTTATATTTTTACAATTATTTCTTTGCTCTATGTACTTTTCTATTGGGTTATTCATCTTAATCTGTGGGCATATTTTTAAGGTAAGATATTAGTCCATTTTTTATTTTGCATATCACAATATCTCTTGTCACTTTTTTTTACTTTATGTATAATATCTAATCATATTTTCTTTAAAAGAAGGAAAATGTCTACTAACCAGAGCTGGGCCAGGCCATAAGCTCTCGTGTTCCAAGAGCCTGGAACTCCAGTCAGGTCTGTCATACAGGCGCAGGGTCACAAGGACTTGGGCCATTCTCCACTACTTTCCCAGGCACATTAACTTGGAGCTGGATTGAAGGCAGAGCAGCCAGCACTTGAACCTGTGCTCATACACAATGTCCACATTGCAAACAGCAGCTTAACACACTGTGAAACAATGCAGCTTCCACTGTCACAATTTTAAGCAATTTTAGAGCAAGTTTCAAAATCTAATTCAACTAATGCCTCATTTGTCTCTTTCAAAAAAAATTTTATGGCTATCCTCATGCATTTTTTTTTAAGATTTATTTTATTTTATTGGAAAGGCAGATATACAGAGAGGAGGGGAGAGAGAGGGGAAGATCTCCCATCCAATGATTTACTCCCCAAGCGGCCTCAATGTCTGGAGCTGAGCCAATCCAAAGCCAGGAGCCAGGAGCTTCTTCCGGGTCTCCCACTCAGGTGCAGGTTCCCAAGGCTTTGGGCCATCCTCGACTGCTTTCCCAGGCCACAAGCAGGGAGGAGGATGGGAAGCGGGGCTGCCGGGATTAGAACCTGCGCCCATATGGGATCCCAGGCGTGCAAGGCAAGGACTTTAGCCACTACCCTATCGCGCTGGGCACGCATTTTTTGTTAAAGATGTAATTTTAGAGTTTTTTTTTTTAAGTTTAGAAAAACATTATGGTGTGTTTTAATCAGCACCATACTGAATTTGTGGATCCTTTAATGGAACCTCTAATAATAATTTTAAAATGATATTAAAGATCCTAAGAAGGGCAGAGCAAGATGGTACGTAAGATGTTCCCCGAGAGGCATCAACCTGAACAGCTACTCCAACACCAAGCCATTTTCACAAGAGCTAAAGAAACCAGGCAATGACCACAGTTCCTGGTTTCAGTACAGTAAGAAAAAATGGGGCCTGGCGCGGTTGCCTAGTGGCTTAAGTCCTTACATTGAACGCGCCAGGATCCCATATGGATACTGGCTCTAATCCCGGCAGCTCCACTTCCCATCTAGCTCCCTGCTTGTGGCCTGGGAAAGCAGTCGAGGATGGCCCAAAGCTTTGGGACCCTGCATCCGTGTGGGAGACCTGAAGTTCCTGGCTCCTGGCTCTGGTGTGGCACAGCAACAGCCGCTGTGGTCACTTGGAAAGTGAATCATAGGATGGAAGATCTTCCTTTTTGTCTCTCTTCCTCCCTGTATATCTGGCTTTGTAATAAAAATAAACAAATCTTCAAAAAAAAAAAAAAGAAAAGAAAAGATGAGCTTCAGAATACAACAAGCCAAGACTTGCCTGTGTCACCTCACCCCCAGCTCCAAGTAGCACAGCATCTAGATAGCTTGCCTCCAGACAGACAAAGAAAGAGAATGAAGTTGCAACATCTGACACGAAACCCAACAGCACGCCTGCTAGGGTGAAATCCACAGCTCTGCCCCTGCCAAGCTTCGGGACCCTCTCAGCCAGACAGTGTGGCACGGCTCCAGCTGCTGGGATAAAGCCGGAAATAAGCTAACGGTTTTGCCTTGGAGTTCAGTGCCAGGCCTGGTATAGTTCACGCCAGTGCTTGCAGACAGAACCTCCAGATCTCCCCTAGTATTAGGAAGACATCGGTGGGATGGACTCACTTCAGACTATATCACCACCAACCTCACACAGGCCTAATATGCACCACAGAAACCGAGCAGAACCCATCGACTGTGAGGCCCCGCGGTGGTACTCATTTGAGGAATAAACCAGCAGGTGTAATACTGTTTCATCTTTCTCTGTAACTTTACACTCCAAATAAACAAGCTTAAACTCTAAAATTATCTTCGAAAACTTAAAAAGCTGTCTTTCTCTCTTGCTCTGCCAAATAAATAAGTACTCTAAAAAAATAAATAAAAGAAACGCTTGTCAAACATTTTGGAGAAGGAACACTCATACACTGTTAGTGGAAATGCCAATTAAATTAGTACCACCAACATGGAAAATGTTAGGAAGGCTCTTAAAAAAATTAAAATAGACTGCATATAATCCAACTATCTTACTTCTGAGTATATCTCTGAAGGCAATGAAATGAGCAATTCAAAGACCTATAATCTCATGTTTATTGCAGCACTATTCAAAACAGACAAAATACAGAATCAACTCTAATATCCATGAAAGAATGAATGGTTAAAGAAAATGTGACATATACTGTCCAGATGCCTGCACGAACGAGGCCACTCCATCTTGAACTGTGAACTTCCAAAACAAACCTTCCTGAAGACATTTAAGTTAAAACAACAAAAAGATGATTAATAGAAGGAGGAATGAAACAAAGTTGGATGACGGATACCAAATCACATTTAGATGGCCCAGTGTATTTTATATACCATACAAAGAACTGGAAGAGAAATGATGAGCAAACAGAAGAGCCAACTGTCTGATTTGATCAGTTAATATTGAATGCATATGTCAACTACAGCACTGTGCCCCACTCAACTATGCAAATACCCTTTTAAAAACCCTAAGCTAGGCTAGACTGCAAGTTAAAACATTTGAATAGACAATTAGGAAAACAAAACTAATGACACAAAATTCAGCAGAAAGTGATAAACGGGGGAAACAAAAGAAACATACTTGTTGTTCCACTGTCCAGTATACTTGTCTAACAGGAGTTAAAGAAAAAAAAAAAAAAAAGATCAGAGAGGAAATGACCAAAAAAGTCAAATGAACTTTCCCTAGGAATCAGGAATCAAAATGAGTCTCAAGATACACAAAGAAATCCACACTCAAGCAATACTAAAGATGCAGATCATCACTGCAAAAGAGTTCTTAAAAATGAAGGAAATTTATATTAATAGAAAGCTTCTTGGGAAAAAAATCGGTAAATTTCAACATCAAAAAATCTTGAGGGCCCGGCGCGGTGGCGCAAGTGGTTAAAGGTCCTCGCCTTGCACACCCGGGATCCCATATGGGCACCGGTTCTAATCCCGGCAGCCCCGCTTCCCTTCCAGCTCCCTGCCTGTGGCCTGGGAAAGCAGTCGAGGACAGCCCAAAGCTTTGGGACCCTGCACCCGCGTGGGAGACCCGCAAGAGGCTCCTGGCTTCGGACTGGCATAGTATCGGCCCGTTGCGCTCACTTGGGGAGTGAATCATCGGACGGAAGATCTTCCTCTCTGTCTCTCCTCTCTGTATATCTGCCTTTCCAATGAAAAATAATAAAAATAAATCTTTAAAAAAAAAATCTTGAAAGTACTCTCAGAGTAAAAAATGTCCATCTATAATTCAGCAACAGAAAGTATATTTTCTGGCAAAATAAATAAAGGATAAAAGAATTTACCATTAACAATAAATAATCTTTTGAAAAGCAGCTTACCCTTCTCATACGTAACTCTTCTACCGCTTCCAGTAAGCTTGTTTTGAAATCTAGCAGCTGAATAGAAAATAACGTTTCTGCAGAACTCTGAAGACTAAAGGCAGATGATGACTCATCGCTGAGATCATTCTCCATGTTAACATTTCCTGTAATACAAAATATTTAATTGAAAAAGACATTTATCTAATACGTTTTCAGGTAAAAATGCAGTTTCTGTAACAATATAATAATTTGCATACCATAATCTACCAGGTTTGGTATTATTTAAACAACAGCTGTATACTGATCCCTGCGCTATCCTTGATAGAGAAACATTGGTGAGTGGTTTGATTCTGTTTCTCTGTGATTGAACCTTTTGGTACCTGAGTATCCTGGGGGATTAAATTTTCTACCCCTAAATACAAGTGTCCCAAAAGGTAGGTTACTATTGCTACAGATGTGGGATGACCCTTTCCAAGGTTCCAAGGTACTTCATACCAAGCCTAAGAAACACTGCTTCTCAAACTTTGTAATAGCAAAACTCTGCAATGATAATTTTATAACCATATTTTGGCAAGGAAAAGGCATAAATTACTCAACATAGTTTTTCAGTCTATATCTTTAGTCTAAGTTATTAAAAATATAATTGCCAGACCCAGCATAATGACCTAGTGACTAAAACCTTGCTTGCAAGTGCCAGGATGCCATATGGGCACCAGTTCGTGTCCAAGCTGTTCCACTTGCCCATCCACCTCCCTGCTTATGGCCTAGGAAAGCAGTAGAGGATGGCTCAAGTTCTTGGGACCCTACACCCATGTGAGAGACCTGGAAGAAGCTTCTAACTCCTGGCTTCAGATTGGTTCAGCTCCAGCCATTGCACCCACTTGGGGAGTGAACCAGAAGTCAGAAGATAAAGCCAGAAATAACATCTGTGTCTCCACACGAGTGGCAGGAATGCAAGCACTTGAGCCTAAGTATTAGCAGGAAAATACAGCAGGAAGAGAGACAGGACTCAGTCATAGGCACTCTGATATGGGATGTGGGTAACTCAGGCAGTGATTTCACCTGTTGGATCATAACACCCACCCCAGGATTTTTTAACTTTTTGTTTTCTGTTTGTCTTTATCTCTATCTTTATAATCAATGTTAACTGTCATATCAAAATGCCTTATTATTGGAGCCAGCACAGTGGCATAGCACACTAATTCTCCACCTGCAGTATTAGTACACCATACAGGCACTAGTTCGTGTCCCCCTCCACTCCACTTCTGATCCAGCTCTATGCTTACAGTCTTGAGAAAGCAACATAGTATAGCTCAAGCCCTTGACCTTGCTCCCCAATAAGAGACCCAAAAAAAACTTCTCGCTCCTGGCTTCTGATGGGCTCAGCTCAGGCCACTGAGGCCATCTGGGGAGTGAACTACCCAATGCAAGATCTCTCTGTAAATCTGCCTTTCAAATGCAAATAAATAAATCTTTTTTCTTTAAAGATTTATTTATTTTTACTACATAGTCAGATATACAGAGAGGAGGAGAGAGAGAGGAAGATCTTCCGTCCGATGATTCACTCCCACAAGCGACCACAACAGCTGGAACTGAGCCAATCTGAAGCCAGGAGCCAGGAGCTTCTTCTGGGTCTCCCACAAAGGTACAGGGTCCCAAAGCTTTGGGCCATCCTTGACTGCTTTCCCAGACCACAAGCAGGAAGCTGGATGGGAAGCGGGGCTGCTGGAATTAAAACCAGTGTCCATATGGTATCCCAGGCGTGCAAGGCGAGGACCTTAACTGCTATGCAGACCCAAAAATCCTTTCTTAAAAATAGCATATTATGGCCAAAATTAGCTTTTTGTAAGCCTCTTGTCAAAAACCTATAACAGACTTAACAAAAATAAACAGCAAAATATCAAAGTATGCCATTACAGAAAATAATTTAACCACAAATATTGTAGGACATAAATCTGATCTTTTGTAGTAATATCACACTAATATAAAAAAAGTAAAGCCAGATAGGAGGTAGACTGGGCAACAGTAGACTATAGTAGAGGCTGGCATGCACAAGAAACCAAGGCTGGGGGCAGGCCTGGTGGGGTTGGTGGCGGTTCCTGGAAATTGCCCCAGCTAGGCTACAACACCCATTGGAGAGTATAAGGACTGGGTTGTGAAGGGTGCTGGCTGGGCTGGGTTGCAGCACACGTCGGTTCATGTTAGATGTGGGGCTGAGGTGGAACCAACCAACTGCATCCACCAGTATATGTGTGGCTGGTGCAGATGGCAAGCCACACCTGACCCTGCACAGGCTGGCACACACAACAGTCAAGTCTAAGGTCACCAGAGCCATTTCCTGGGGGCTCCCCAAGCGGACTGCTGGACTCAGACTCTGGCCACAGGGAAAATCACAGGACATATAGTCCAACCTTGAAGTATATGTTCAGGACTGGGCCTCCTCAGTTGCTGATGTTTATGCGGTGGACAGCATGTCCAAACGCAAATGGGAGGGGAGGGGGGTGGGAGGGAGGGAACCTAACAGTCCGCTCATCTAAGCCAGCAGGGGGCATCAACTACCTTGTCAGACAATGGAAAGCAAAGCAGGTTGGATAATCCTCCTGATCAAGCTTTTGCAGCAGCATGTTCCTGGGTTTATGGATTTCGCCAACCAGTAGACATTGGAAAGATTTTCTTGGTTCTGGAGTTACAAAATCTGACAATGTATGAGGCTATCAAAACCACTGAAGGGCTCGGTGCAATAGCCTAGTAGAAACCACCAGGATCCCATATGGGCGCCAGTTCATGTCTCAATTATTCCACTTCCACCCAGCTCTCTGCTTGTGGACTGTGAAAACAGTAGAGAATGCCCAAACCCTTGGGATCCTGCACCCACGTGGGAGACCAGAAGCTCCTGGCTCCCAGCTTTGGATCAGCTCAGCTTCGGCCTTTACAGCTGCTTGGGGAATGAACCAGAAGATGGAAGATCTTTTTCTCTGTCTCTCTCTAATCTAATAAAATTAAATACATCTTTAAAATAAATCACTAAGTTACGCCCTTGGAACACTCTTTCCCACATCTCTAGGACGTCCATCTCCCAAAGGACCATCTCCCAACCTAGGGTGCTAATGTGGTTTAACAGCAACAAAAAGCCTGTGAACACAGGAGAAAAAAATTAAAACAAGACTGAAACATGTGCACCACCCAACTTCCTTCCTTCTTACCCCAATATTAAAAATTTTTTAAAAAGAAACTTCCCATAAACACGAAATACAGATTCTTAATAGCACATAGAGCATTTCCCAGGACAGATTATATAGTAGGTCAAAACAGGCCTTAACATAAGTAACAAGAAAAACTTCTGAAATTACAAACTTAAACAACTTATTCCTGAATGACCAATGATTGAAAAATAAAATTAAAAAAAATTTTTAACTGAACTACAATGGAAACACAGCATACTAAACCTATGACATACAGCAAATGCAGTATTAAAAGTGAAGTTTAGAGCAACCAATAGCTACATTTAAAAAACAAATGTCAGAAAGCTATCAGTAAACAACTTACTGCTGCCTTTAAAGAAAATAAAAAACAAATCAAATCCAAAATTGACAGAACTCAGAGCACATAACATAAAGACTAAGAGTTGATTAAAAGTCAATGAAATTAACAGTTTGTTCTTTAAAAAGACTGATAAGTTCTTAACTAAGCTAGCCAAGAAAACAAGACACAGGATTCAAATATCTAGGTCAGAAATGAAAGTGATGACATTACAACTGACACCACAGAAATACAAAAATTATTAGAGATTTTTGTAATCAAATCAAAATTGTATGGCAACAAATTCATAACTGAGAATCAACAAATTCTTAGAGATATATACCTTACAAAGATTGAATCACGAGGAAACAGAACATCTAAACAACCAAAAATGAATAGCAAGAAATTAAAAACCTCTCATCAAAGAAAAATCCAGGATCAGATGGCTTAAATGTTGAATTCTACTTTGTATTTAAAAAATTAACTCCGATTTTTCTAAAATTACTTCAAAAAAAGCAGAAAAGATTCTTCTAAATTCATTCTATAAAGTCACATACCAAAACTGGACCAGTGCATGACAACAACAAAGAAAGCAAACTCCAGGCAATATCCTTGATGAACACCGACTCAAAAATCCTAAACAAAATACTAGTAAATTGGGGTTGGTATTGTGGTGCATCAGGTTAAGCTGTGACCTACCCAAACGGACTCTAGTCTGAGTACCAGTTGCACCACTAGCAATCCAGTTCCCTGATAATGCGCCTGAGAAAGCAGCAAAAGATGACTCTGTCCCTGCCTGAAAGATCCAGAAGAGGCTCTTGGCTTCTACCTGGTCTAGCCTTAGATGTTCCAGTCAGTGAGAGGAAGAGCTCTCTCTTTCTGCCTTTCAAATAAATACTTTTTAGCAAACTGAATCCAAAAAACACATTTAAAAGATCATTCTCCATGATCAAGTTGGATTCATACCAGGGATTCAACAATGGTTCAACATAATATAAACCAATGAAAGTTATACCTACATGAAGCACTAAAATCATATCATCTCAACAAATGCAGAAAAGATATCTGATAAATTTCAATTCCATTTCATGATACAAACTCTAAACAAATTAGTATAAAAAAAACCCAGACTTCAACATAACCGAGGTCACCTGTAACAAACATCATAATTGTGAAAATCGGTTTCTCTCTCCAAATTTGGACAATATAAGGATTTTCACTTTAACCAGTTTTATTCCAAATATCAGAAATCTTAACTAGAGAAATTAGGCAATAAAAAGAAATAAGGGGCCCCAAAATCACAAAGATGAAATAAAAACCATCATTGCTAATAACATGATACTATATTCAGAAAACCCCAAGGATTCTAACCAAAAAGTTAGAGCTAGTAAACAGATTCAGCAATTGCAGGATACAAACTCACTGCACAAAAATTAGCACGGTAGGACCAGCACTGTAGCACAGAAGGCTAAGCTTCAGCCTTTAGCACTGGTAACTCCTACATGTGCCAATTTGAGTCCTGACTGTTCCACTTCTGATCCAGCTCCCAGTGCAGGAGACTCAGAGGAGGCTCCTTGCTTCAGATCAGCTCAGGTCCTGCCACTGTGGCCATGTGGGGGGTGAACCAGTGGATGGAGGATCTCTG